TCGAAGAAGAAACTCTACTCAGTGTTGAGAATGGAAACAGTGAAGCTCTTGATGAAGTTACTACCACTGATGTGATTGTTATCGACGATATGACATTTCCTGATGAAGCAGGTGAATCCCATATGAAGCAGAAGCCAACGAGACGGAGACAAGTACGGAAGAAGATACGTCCGTAAAATTAAGAGACTTTATTGAATTGTAATTTTGTGTTTGTAATTCTGTACATTTTATTAAGTTATTGTTAATTGTTTATTGGTTTCGCTAGATAGTAGATAGGGACAGTGGGAATCTGCAAGGTCACGTGACTAGTATCACGCCACGTCTTTCTCTCGAACCTTCGTGAATTATCGGGAGACTACTAGATTGAGGGTAGTCAGGTATATATAAGATGGCCACAACGTGACGAAGTGAATGAGCAATTGAACTGCAGTCAGAGAGTGTGAATTGAGTATTGTCGAGCACGAGCACGTGAGACGTTCTAGCGTTTGTTATAGAGCGACTGTTGAAATTAAGTGTATCGGTAAAGTTGTATTCGGAAAGAATAAACCCGTTTTATTTAAGAAAGGACTTGTGTCGTTAAAGTTTCGTCGGAACGAATTTACGGAATATTAAGTAACGACTGGAGGTGTAACACAGAGTATAACATTACTCAAGAACGCTTTATGCACTTTGTCAATGAAAATAACCGATTACCTTTCGTAGGATAATGCTCTTTATTAATTCCAAAAGAAACCAGATTTTACATTATTAGTTTTCAATACACACACACACATATATATTCAACCTCAGCTTCAATCTCGCTTTTGGTGGCATATCTTATTGTTGAAAATGATAATAGATGAATGAATTTGCATGTATCACGAAGCCAGTTTGACTTAAAACTTATGGCTTTTGTAGAAACGTTTCAAGATTTGAAAATATGCTTAGGTAAAATTATAACATCGTCTTTCTAGCAGTAAAATACGTTAACTCACTAAGTAATCAACGGATTTACACCTACACTAAATTTTTCATGTTGTATGGACACTTCCAATTTATCTTTATTATTGTTAACTTGGAACTTGGGATGAAAGCTATGAATAATTTCAATTTTGATCTGTATTTTATACGAAGTCGTAAGAATCTTCAAGCTCCCGATAACCTAGCGTTAAGTCTGAGAGCTTATAAAGCTAAAGTTCAGCGTTCGATACTTGCATTTGGCAGAAAACAGATAACCCATTATGTAGCTTTTTGATTAATTAACAACGGTGCATCTGAAATAAAACCTGTAAACATTTTTAAAACACGTTCTCCGGCTATTCCATTAATTTTTTGTAATAATTTTGTAAATGATCAATACATTTGTAGATTTTTCTCATTGCCAGTACTCTTGTTTTTGCTTTTGAATATTTACTTAAATCGTAGATTGAATTAATTCAAAAATATAATGTCAGAAATACTAATTTAATTTATTTTTTGCTTGTCATAGTTGTGTTATGTCGTTTTAGAAGTTCGTATTTCCGAAGTTCTTTATCTGCGCATTGCGTTATTGCGCTTCTCATTGTTGAAAATCGAACAACTGATGTAGTTAACACGAGAAGTGTGAAACCTTAAGACTCAGAGTATGAGTGTTCATGGCTGTGCTCATTTAGCAAGTTTCAAATCAGCCAAAGGAACCCAATCTTACCGTGTTTTACATGCTTATTTTATTGCCGGGATTACAGAAGAAGCGCGGAAAAAGAAGGTAGGCGAGCACTCTACCGGTAGGTTCCGACAAGTAACATAAGCTGACGCCGTGTTCTCGAAGAGACTAAGCAGAAAATCAGGCGCAATGCGGTTTTCCGAGCGTTGACCGATGATGGTTCTTACTCTTACGACTCAGTACAGTAGTTCGCCACACATAATAAGCTGGCTTTCTATTGTATTTGTTTAAGACACTTTTTCGTCTATAGACCTAGTTATATTTATAATATATATTATAATTATATGTTTTAAGTGCCCTTAGCTAATCCCACTAATCTTAGAGTTAGAAAATCCGTCACCGGTACTCTGGTGGTTTAACTAAAAAAAAAAAGTAAATGTAACTTCTCGTTATGACTTTACACCAGGCTTTATGTTTTTCAGTTTTGTATTTGTTTGAGTTTGTTGAACTTGAAGTTTCAGAGTTGAAGATAAATATAATTCCAACAGTATGAAAAATGGGTTCTCAAAGCTACTCAGCTGTCAGACTGTACATGTTTTTGACAGATTTTGGAGGACATAATTGATTAAATGTTTAAAATAATTTATAATTTAGAGGTACTAAAGTAAGTAATCTTGTAAAAATAACATTGTAACCATGCCTTAAGTTTGGTGTACTATACATGAAATTGTACTATACTGATGAACAGAAGGTGTTAAATATGTTATTACAGAATTAAACCCTTATAAATAAGTTAGAATCCTTTTGTAACTACTTATCCAGTAGTAATTAATTCAAATTATACACTCTTTGAATTGATCAGCTAAATTCTTAAGTCTTATGTTGCTATAGTATTAGCTTCTTAGTTACTTTACTGTCATGTTCATAATATCATTGGGATTAGTCTTTGTAGAAACGTTAATTGCTATTTGAAAATAGTTTTGAAATTATGTAAATCTAGTAAAGTATTTTTGACCATATTAGTAAATTACTCAATTTTGAAGGAAAGAATGCTTTGTGGAAACACCTAAGTTACATTATTTATACTGAAATAAATTTGAAGGAGTATTTCTTAAATTTATTTTTGAATCTTAGTTTTTATGCATTTTACAAGTCTGATTCCTTATCAGTTCTGTCCTGTTTTATTTTGGTAGGAGTTAAAGAGAGAAGATTGCTATAATAAAATTAGATAACTAGAGTTGTAAACTATAAAAGGGTGTCCCAACTATTACTTGTCATATAACATGTGACCCAGCACTAATACATAGTTAAAATAGCCATGCACTTTTTGAGGAAACTATTTTGTGTAATAAAATGTGCAAATAAAACTTTGATTGGGTGAAATATGTGCTGTCAATAATGACAAACATATAAGAAGAATAAACTGCTGATTTTTACAATGAAAAAACACTTGGTGTGTTCCTCTATTTTGAAACAGAAGCAATAATATTGAGTATGGATGTATGTTTCTGTAAGTTGTAATCTGTGAAATATAAAAACAAATTAATGAAATTACTGGTGGTAGAAAATATATATGATAAATATAATGTTGCTGTTATACACAAATACAGCTGTAGCATTACTAGCTTAAGATCCCATGGTAACTGGCTGACTGACCCATTATACACTCATTCTAACTAAATTGATGGTGGAATAATGGTTTTGTTCAAATGCAAATTTTTGTGAAGGATTTTAATGTTATTAAGAAACTTCCAGTAATAGGAAAATGTGTAAAACTGAGATTCCACATATAAATAACTTGCTAGATATTCTAGTAGATCAAAGGTATGGGTCTTAAGACACCAGTAACCTATTGTCGTCATCAGTAGATTCCAAATAAGACTGTGAAGTTGAGATCTGATTAGAACAGATATACATATGTCTTTTAACTTGTGAATATTAATTTAATATTAACTACTAGATAACATGTGGTTATCATGCATTCATAATGGATAGTTCTGGTACATATTCATGTGTTGATTTTACTTTGAATCCATCTAATAATATAGTAATGCAAAGAATTTATTTTGTTTTAAATGATTTTTATATTTCATCATAAAATATATTAACTAAATTAGTTTAAGAAGGTTTGCTTTGTATGAAAATTTTGTCCTTAAAATTGCCAAATACAGTTTTGATACATAGCATTTGCTGTTGAATCTTCTTAACACATTTATTAAATGAAATATTAGTACACCAAAGATCACAAAATGTAACCAGATTCCATTATTTTTGAAGAAAAAATCAATACTTAAGACTGGATTTTATATTTAGTTCTTTTATAATGCATGCGAACATCTTTCTCTGTCTTTTATTAATATAGTTTTTGTGATATTTTTGGCTAATCTGTAACTGATGATAGATTAATAAGAATTATACATATTAAAAATAATCTTTTTTAATTGATATGTATCTTTTTTTTTGTAATTACCAAAATACATAGATAAATCATTATAACAAAAAAAGGATGCTTATTAAAAGTGGCAGTAAAAATAACTACTTTCGGATAAAGCACTTTTGAAGTTGTACATGTATATACAGAAATTACACCCAATAGATCAGTTTATGTTTACTGATAAACAGTTTTATTATTGATGGCATTATATATCATAATACTTACATTAATACAAGTTCTCAAATTATATAAATTATGCTACAGGTTCATAGAATTGAGAAATAAAGATGCATGGGTTGTTACACAACTCAACCTGTATTATAAAATATATTCCAGGTTTAATGTTAGTTTCAGTTAATATTTGACAAAAATGTTTACTATTATACAAAGTCAAACACACACATAAGTTTTTACCCTTTTAAATGTAGGGGAATTAGAATTTTGAAAACATCATCAGTGACATGTCACATGTCAAATATTTAGGCAATCAAATCAAGATGAAGTATTGTATCTACCTGGCTGAAAGATTTACCATCAGCTGATTGTGGTCTAAGAGAATTAAATTCTAAAATACTTTTGAAATTTGGATAAAATATGTACATATTATGTCATTTTGCAAGTATATATATATATATTTTTATTTTTTTAGCACCAGTTTTTACTTTATATTATCAGTCTAGTTTCATAAATTTTCTATCCTTTCCTCTGTGGAAAAAAAAACAAACAAACAACATCTAAGAAAATACAGTAAAAATTAACTCCCCCTTTATTTTACAGGAAATCATTGATTCCTTTCTTAGTAATGCTGATAGAAACTTATTTCACAAGTTAATCACCCTCTTAGAAAAATAAAACTGTCTTAGTTGGAGCTTCACTTGTCTGTTTCAAATCCTAAACTTGTGTCTTCTCATCCTGAGATCTGTATGTACATTTGAATGAGTACAAATTGATAATCTAATAGTGAACTATATTATATAACTTTTTTAAATGCTAAAAATACTGATATGTATATGTTTGATGTGGGCTATAATACCATTATAGATATATAATCACTTGGATCACATTAGGTAATGATGAAATTTTGAGCCACTTAAGATACAGTCCTTCATCACTAATGGCTAACTCAAAATTGGCATATATTTGAGTTATTTTTAAACTTTTCACTCTCCCTCACCTTTGAATGGGAGCTGTTTTGTTAATACTTGATGACTCTTGAAATTTTTCACAATTTATTTTACATGGGCCTAGTAGTTCACCAAGTTTGAGCAGGATCAAAGAGGATGAAGCTGGAATCATTAATTGAGTTAACATAGAATAACCAAGCCATCTGTTTTTTTTCTATTTCAAACAAGTGTTTGGCATAAAAAAAAAGTGTTTATCTTTATGTGTTATCATAATTAGTCTTGTAATGATTGGTAATATTTTTTTTCAACAAAAATCTTTTGAAAACACATGAGAATGAGTAGACTGATAACAGGAAACCATTAGCTCATCGAAGTAGTCTCTTCACCCAACAAAATGACTATATAAAGCAACTACATCAATTTAAATATAGTTTTCAAACTGGTTAGACTTACCTCTGAAATACTGTAAAAATAATTTTCGTTGAGTCATTGTTGCTCTGTCAACAACCACATGATCTCAGGCTGTAAATGTTTTTGATACATTAAATGCATCATCTTCACTGGTCCAAGTTCTTCACCATGTCACCTTTTACATGAATTATCATACAGTTACTAAGAAAACAACATAAGCTCTGTTTTTCCATCACAAACAAGATTTTTTCTCTAAACTTTGTGCCTTTGTTTGCTTTGCTCATGAATTCTGAAGTCAATGTTAAACCCAATATTAATTCTTTTGTTAAAGGATATATAAGATGCTTATATTCATATCCAAATTAAGCTATCATTTTCTACATTTTTATCATTGAGTGGTAGCTTACCAGCTCACTTCTTTTCCGTTTGCCCTGGCTTCAGCTTTATATATTTTCTGTGGAGTATTCAACACCCTTACTGGTTAGCTTCATTCACATAACATTGACCTTTCCTTTTATATGGATACTTGGCTTCCTCTTGCTCTCTCGTCCAATCTCTATCATACATTCAGTTGACCACTCAGTTTGCTATATCTCTCAGGTGGAAAATTCACAGCGTCAAATCTGTAATTAGTATGAACTCAGTATTTGGTCCATCTTGGGTTTTGAATCAATACATTTTAAGAGATTCTTAACCTGCCTCTTATTATGCTTCAAGCCTTGGAATTTTATGTTCACAAACTTCTTTTTTCTACGTCTACCACAAAAGACGTACTTTTTGACTTGGGAATGATGGCTTCAATTCACAAGGCTATTCACTTGGTTCACCCTCACATGTGCTACTTCTAGTGGGGTTTTGCCAAGTAGCATTTGACCATAGATTTGTTATTTCAACATTTCACATTCCAGGAGTAGTGAACATTTTGTTAGATTCTCTTTCTCAAAATCTTTTTCTTCTTTCCACCAAGTGGACTCTCTATCTTTTGGTTTTTCAATGGTTATGTGAAAAGCTGGGCTATCCATTGATGCCTTCACAATGGTTGACAGCCATCTTCTTCCACTCTACCTGTCTGCAGCTCTACTGACTGTGATGCCTTGTAGCAAGATTGAAAGCCTTTTTTTTTAATGCCTACC